CGCAGCTTGATTCTGAATGTGTCGTAATCTTGAATCATGTGTACAGTATTGACGCTATGAATGTCATCCAATAGCCTCTTAAATTGTCCATCAATAAAATCCGGTGGATACTTCTTGAGGAGTAATCGATATCTTATTTCTCTTGCGTCAGAACAGATGCGGATAGCACGGATGTATGCCGCATATGGAATATTCCTTTTTATATGCATCGGATGTGCACTATTATATGGTAAAACATATGGTTGAGCCGCTAGCTTATGGTAAACTGTCGTACGTGCAACTGGACATTGAACATGAATAGTCACATATAGATAATTGACAGTCTTGCCAATTTCATAAGTTAGTATTATATGGCGGTCTTGCTCAGTATAAGATTTAAGGTGTTTTTCAAGATATAATATGCTCAGCCTTGAGGTTAAAAAGATGTCATCTCCAAACCGTACATACAATTGTTTTTCTGCTGTTTGTTGGACCAGAATATCTTTTTCCCATTCAAACATATAAACGTCAGCTAATATTTGAGTGATAGCGAAGCCCATTGGTCCTCCTTTTATTTTTTTAAAAAGTCGATTCTCATATTTGAAATAGGCATTGTCTAATACGTGTCTACTTAATTTTGCAAAAGTATCAATGGATATATTATTGATTTTATACTTTCCACATTTTGCTAGAAATCTACATAGCGCACTCGAATGTTTATCAATTTTTGTGGTGTCAACCGTTGTTCCTCCTTCAATTCTTTGTTTTATAGAATTTGGTAGTGCTTTCGCTATTAGCTCCTCATAATGATCAAGTAAATCAACTATATGTTGTTCTCGTAGGTCATATCCTTTCTTTTCTAAAAAAGAACGTAGAGAAGGAAGACTTCCTTCTGTACTTGATCGAGGAGGTACGTCAGCTCTTTGTGTATTATGTGAAGAATACAGGAGAAACGAAGTTTTTATTGCGGAAACAAGTTTTACAAGACTAGTTTCTTTTAACTTACAGTGAAGTCCATCAATTAGATCGTCATCAGTAAGTTCAGTCCGAGCTACTTCATATCCATACTGGTGGTGCATGTCGCTGCAACTGGTCAACTGATAACGAGTAACCTTGTTTTTAAGTTCTTCTTTAGTTTGTAGTTGTCCGGATGGTTTCGTCCTGTGCATTATATCATGTGTCAACACTCTTTGCACTTTCGGATGGTGGTATCTGATGTTAATAACTAGTCGAGCAATATCTGTTATCATTTGCTCAACTGGTTTTTTACCTAAATCATTAGTTCCAGCAACAATTAAAACTGATTCTATTTTTCGAATAACAATTTCGAATTATGTGATAGTATATATTTAGTTATTGACAAGTCATCATTGCCGGCAATCCTAGCTCCAGCGTACGAGCAGATTTTAATGAAGTGATGATCATTTCTTAAATCTTCGTGTTGAATACTTATACCTATGGAGTCTGTCAAGACTGCAACGTTTTTTTTACGCCATTGTTGTAGTTCTCGTAGCTCGTCGTCGCTGCGGTCGTATCCGTAATTTTGATTGCTTACCTGTTGCTGTTGATTCGATTGTCGGGGAGTGAGATTCGTACCTCGTGTCTGTCGCCCTCTCCTATTTTGATTTGATTGTATGAGAGTATCGTCGATATCTCGTAGATGGTCTGGATTCGTTCGTACATTACCTCGTGATTGTCGACCACTACCTCTGAACAGTTGGTTACCTCTCTGTGGTGATGGTGACCTCATACGATTTGAATTATAGTAAACTTGTCGACGTCCATGAAATGAGGTTTGACGGTAATTTGAGCTTGACGTAGTGTGATCTTGAGCTTGCCCCATCTGTCCAAATGCGCATATGTTTCCTGAGATGGCGATTGAATGTATATGTATGGCTGGTTCCCTTGTCGATTTATCGGTGGTACATAACCATTGTTATACACATTAAACACTACATTGGTTTCAGTATTGATTAGTGGTCAGAATTGTTCATCAGTTTCACAACGGGCGCAAAAAAAAAGTTTTTTCGCAAATTCTAGTCGGAAAATTGTTTTGATCAAAGCTATACCAATATAGGGCATATCAGACCTTTTCTCAAAGTCAGTGTCCTTGTTTCTGGAGAACTTAATAGTTTTCTTCTGGAATGAGATACAGAGTTGTAATCTTCACCATTCTAAAGAAGAGACTTGGAGACACACTTTTATAATAGATATTAATGTCCTCTTCAACATGGGAAGCAAGTGAGAACTTGATTTACAGCGGTATCCGGTTTCCTTGGAACCTTAGGACTGAAATCAAGTGGTTTCAGATAGTCTTGAAATCGAATGAAACATACGTAATCGACCACACTGGATCTGATGGCAATGTTTATCTTGCAAAAAAAAACAAAAAACAGGGTGAAAACCGACTATTATCAAAACCGAAGTTTTCGGATTCTTTTCACTTAATATTAAAAAATTCACAATTCACTCGAAAAACATCAGCATGAGTTGGAAATTTCAGAATGTATAGTATTTACGCTATTATATATCCTGCGTGTACGAAATCCACAAAAACTAATCTTAAAAACCCTGTGGTTGTTCGGAATGGCTTCCAGAAAACTTTTGATCGAAAACGCGCCTTTTCAACTTTTCTGATCGTAAATAGCGATGTTAAATGAACACATCTAGCTATATCCTGAAGTTTGCCACTCGTTCTGATGTTTTTCGAATGAACTTGTTTAGGCTGATATTTACTCACAACAATCAGTGCCGTTTAGACTTTTATGAAGCGAAATTCTTCACGAAGACATGAAGCAAGAAGAATGTGTTGTGTTAGGAATTTTACCATAGCCGTCTTTTTTCTAGAGCCCAAACAATCTACAGTATTTAATACAATTATTTTTATCGTATGACAAAACAGAAAAGGTTTGTTGTTAGCAGTACTAAGTTAAGTATGGTACTTTCAGCATTGAAACTTATAAAATACAACGATTCAAGAGTATAACATAAACTGTAACACAGACAAAATAAAAAGCTAATACCTTTGTTTACTTTTCAGCTATTTGACTAATGAAGAATTTCATTAACTATTAACTAATAATGATATTCATTTGCCCTCAACAGATGAGATCAATTATCAATTATTTAGTGTATATGATAAAAAGCTGAAAGATTAATTTAATTACAAAGATTTATTTCACACATCGAGACAATTATCTCCTATTAGGATATCTTTGGATTTATTCGCTACAGTTTTTTATTTCATCGAGCTACAACTCCTGAATTTATTACAGTCATTGTTGTTATGCAAAAGCTCACACGTGCACTTCACCTCGATGTTTATGAAATATATATTTGCTCTCAATGCGAACTGATATACAAATATGTTACCAATGTATTCACGGTAACGTCGTTCGCGGTAATGTTGCTGAAAAAGAAGAAATGTCAATATTCCAACAACTTTCATGCTGTCTCGGTCTGTAGTTAAAAGAATGTTGTTGGGCAAGAAGAAAGAAAGAAGGCATTGATTCAGTTTATCTCTACGAAACAGAACGGGTGGTCATTTTGTGTTTTTATTTAAGGAGACACATTGTTTTGCAAGATACACATAATTACACAAAAGGTGAGTGTTTAACATTTCTTAGTCGACTTTTAATAATTTGATTCTCTTCTTACACAATTAAACTGCCAAAGTGTATCAGTGAGTGAATGATTCCAAACTCCGTGCTTAGAACAAAAACACAAGTTGCATGATCTGACGAGAAAGAAAACGAGTGAAATCATCCTGTTTATGCTCTCGTGTTTTTTTTAATGGAACTTGACATTTCTTCTTTTTCAGATCACATAGTGCACCATGGCTGACGACGTCAGCCTCAATTAGCAAGGTCAATAATCTATCAGAAAGTCCATCAAAAATCTTTGAATGAGTATACTCATATCTTTTCAAAAAAAGGCGTTCAAAAAAGGTTCACTATAAATAGTGAACTTCAGTTTATCGTGTACCGAAGAGATACGGATATCTGTAATTGTATCGCATAATGACTATTAATTACATAACTCCGCCTAGGTTGCAAAACATGATATACAAAATACAAAACTAGGCTCATTTATTCTTCTTTTCCAATAAACGAGTCTTCGTCGTAATGTCGTTCGCGGTAATGCCGTTTTTTGTATTCGCGGTAATGTCGTTTTTTGTATTCGCGGTAATGTCGTGTCACGACTTTAGATCCGTGGTTATTCCGAAAAGCCAAGTTCTTCGACATGGTTGCATAGTGCATTCGATACAATGTCACTTGCTTTACATTCCTAACAGTATAGAAGTCTCGACGTTTTCCATTAAACTAAAATTTTGAAACAACTTTATTAAATATACAGCGTGGTTTAGATGTCGTGCAAATATCCGCCTATAAACGTAAAAACGTTCGATCTGCTCAGAAACAGGTCATACGCGCGAACTCTTTTTAAAGTAGACATACCGCACTAGGCCTATAAGATGCACTAAGTCTCGGCTGAAAAGCGCTCCGACACCTAGGAATGTCCTTCGTTAGCATTTTTTTCCGAACCTATGCAATATTTGACCTCTTTTTTAATGTTTTTTCTACAAAGGAAGTTATGAGATTTGTAAATAAGAATCCAGTTTTATTTTGAATCATCCTTTTTACTCATTCCATTTTAACCTTTCTCGATACTCTACGGCCCACAACCTTCCAAAGTTACATGAGTCTAATACTGAAAGCAGGGGACATTTAACATTCTGTTTGCGTCATATTGAAGACGGCTCTAAAAATGTAAGAATTAATCACAACACTCATCCGATGTTACCAAAAAAGCTTATAGACTGAAATATGTTCTAAGATTTATGTCTTCTTTGCAAACACAAACCCTTTCCAAACTTATGAATCTGGATCTTGTCTAAGCTAGGTTTTGCTGGGTCTGTGTTAAATTCACTTAACTGGACCTTGAAGTCGCATGAAGCAAATCGAACTTTCTTAGTTTTTCAGATTTATTCCTCAACTTACTAACCGTAATTTCTCTGAGAAATGCTTACCGTTCATCATCTCGGCATCTCACAGTCGGAACGAATTGTCTGGTTATGTGAGGAGCTCGAAATTCCCTATCAACTGATTCGCTACGATCGTGATCCTAAGACACGTCTAGCTCCAGAAGAGTACAAAGCACTTCATCCATTTGGAACAGCTCCCGTCATCAACGATGGCGATGTGGTATTGGCAGAGTCCGGCGCAATTATCGACTATATTATATCAAAATATGGTAACGGTCGTTTCACCTTGAAAGCCGATCACTCAAACTTCGCTGACTATCTATTCTGGTATCATTTTGCCAATGGTTCAATGATGCAAGCTCTGTCTATTGATCTGGTTGTCAACCGAATAAGTGGTGGAACACGAGACCCAGTAATCGAGTCATTGCTGGATCGCGTTTATCGTGCGTTTGATCTAGTAGAAAAGCGGCTCAGCATATTTGATTATTTTGCTGGAAATGAATTTACTGCATCAGACATTATGATGCTCTTCCCATTGACGACAATGCGTGTCTATACACCACTGGATCTAAAGCCTTATCCCAGTATACGTGCCTATCTAAAGCGTATTGGAACACGTCCAGCGTACCAGCGGGCTATGAAGAAGGGAGATCCAGATTTAATTCCACTATTGGACTGACGTTAAGTGAAAACGATTTGAGCGGTGTGCCTTAGTACAATGGATAAATTAGTTACAGTTCTTTTTTCGACTTGCAAGTTTAATTTATCTTCCATTATCTTCAATAAATTTCAAAGAGTGTGATATGACCCTTGTAAATAACAATTTTAAATATTTTGCCTTGGTTATAAAGAATAAATACGAAGAAGGCTAAGTGATCGTTGTAACACGTGTCTATTATATTCCGACTTCCCTTTTTTTCCGTTCTTAATCCTTGTATTTTCATATTTTGTTGAGGTTGTAAAATACACTTATTGAGAAATGTATGATAATTATTTGTCTCTGTCAAGTGAGTATTAAAGAGAAAGAAAGAACAACAACATCATGTACACATAAGTGTCTACTTTATTATACATTTCTAAGAAAATGTATAATGTTTATTGACAGTAAAGGATTGTATACCCAGGTCGACTCTCACGCTGAATTCACGGCGCGAACGCGCTACGCGATCGCTATAATTCTCCCGAAAAAAGTCGCGATTTTCGCGATCGCTATGAAGTCGCGATCCTCAAAAGTGATCGCGCTGTTCACGCGGTCAGTCTTGTTCTCGCGACGCGATCGCTATGATCTCTTGCAGAAACTCTTCCAGTC